TTGCGCTTGCTAGGCAAGCGCTCTACCACTGAGCTAAATCCCCAACTCCCACCCACATCTCAAGTGATATTGTCCTGTGTGTGAATAGAACTGTAACATTTGATAATTCTTTTCACCACAGTAACAGTATTTCCGAGTTGCTAGAGATAAGTGAAATAACTTTTCCACTCTACAGTGTTTTGTCCTATGTTGGAATTTAGCCAGATAATAAAAAAAAAAGAACAAAAGAGGTGGAAAAACAATTATAACAGGTGGTTAAATGAACATGTCAATGAAAGGAATTAGATAATTCCTATGATTTGTTTTTCAGGGTGGCCCTAAAGGTATCCCAAACATTACAGGCTAGTTGCCCTCAAAAACTTGGTATAATCCTATTGCTGAAGGTATCACATAATTTGGCTCTAGAACATAGAGAAACAAAGTTGTGACGGAGATGGAAGATTGGGCCCTGATTGGTGCTTTCATAGTGAGAGAAAATGCTGTGGAGGCTGTAAAGGCTAACATGCTGATGCCTACTGTGATACCTCAGTAACCCCCCACCCCAACACACTTTATCCCCTACAGACAAAGAGAAGCTTAAACCAGGATTCTTAAGTGTAGATAAGAACTTAGACCCCTTTTTCCCAGGTGGCTGTATCTGCTACAGGGACTTTGGAAAACACAGTCAGGATATTCTATTCGACCAAAAGACTAAAAAAGGGTGGCAGGTTGAAATGAATTATATGGTCTGTGCCTTTAATAATTAGCCTCACAAAGAGGTGAGAGATTTTTTTATTAGACTACACATTGCTTTTGCATTCTGTACCTAAAGTCTCCAGTGATGGCTTTGGGGACGCAATCTGGGCATAACACAGGCCAGTTTGGGCTATAGAGATCCTGTCTCAAAACCAAATGGGATGGAAATATGGTGGCACATGCCTTTAATCTCAGCACTGGAGATAAAAGACCCAGACACAGTTTTCCCCAGAAACCCAAAAGAGCTGAGAAAAGAGATATCTTAAAAATGAGTCAGTTCCCCCTTCCTGAAGAGGGTAAAGACAGGTGTTTTCAAAAGAACAAAGTCAGGATGTCTGATGGTAACCAATTAACCATGAGATGCCCCTCTCCAGAGATAACATGACCAGCCCCCGGAGAGGAGTTGTAAAACTCCTGACAGGGCAAACAGATAAGCTGGAATAAGATAAAGTCCAGGCCCGGGAAAAACTGGACCAATCAAGGATGGACCCGTACTAACCCCCTCCCCTCTAAGAAATTTTATGGGTTTTGCCTATAAAAACTAACTTCCCCAAGAAAAAGGAACTCCTCCCTGCCTCACTGCCCGTGAGTGCTTGAGATGAGTTCCCTGTCATGACTTGCAGCAGAAGTAAACCTTGCTTTTGCATTCTGGTATGCTCGTCCTCTGGTGGTCTCTCTGGGGGTTACGATCTGGGCCCAACACCTACCTTTATATTTAACAGTGTAAAATCGCCATGCTTAAGAGAACTTTTATAGTGCTGGCCCCAGTATCTGAATAAGAGCCTCTTCTTTATTAACTGTATTAAAAGGCTGCTAGGTAGTTAAAGTCTCCTTTCTTCAGTAGCATAGTCCCCATGCTCCAGGAAGTAGGTAGGGCTGCATCCCATACTTATGTGAGGACTTCTAACTAAACTCAGTAGGCTGAGAAAAAAATAGACAGACACGCAGAGGGAATACATAGTAAGGGGAATGATATGCTCAAAATATATTATATACATATGTGAGGTTATCAAACAATAAATTTTAAACTAAGGTATGTTCAATGCAATATACAAAAAAGGAATAAGTAAATAAGTCATACTCATCGTAAAAGTCAACAGAGGAATTAATGCTATATATTCATAATTTTTATAGAGAAATTTCAAAATAAATCTAGTTAATCTCTAGAAAAATCAAAATCTCATCTAGTTGATGAGAAATTCCTCAAAACAGTGGATAAAAATCATAATATACTCATAATGACATTAATTATGAAGAGAGTAGACATTTTAATCAAAAGACTGAGATTGTAAGACTGGACAAAGAATGACTCTCTTAAATGCTTTCTATAAAATCACACTGCATGTCCAAAGGGAAAAAAACAGCTGTACTGTTGGGAAAGCATATTATTATACTAGAACTCTCAATGAGGTACCAGAATTTGTATGTTACTATCATTGAAAATAAAGTTTAGTAAAATAAATATTCATAGAAATTGGGAGAATTTCATAAGTATAAGGTTATTCTGTCAAATTGCAATGAGCATATCCATGTATGCATTTAGCTCAATGCTAAGAGAACAGAACAAACAATACAAGATTACTCTCTACAGTCCCCAATGGATTATAGGTATGTGCCCTCTGAAATATTCCTTCCATAAACTGATGCAGTCTTTTTGTGATTAAACAATAAGACAGCAAAGTATTTCTTTTATTAGTCTCTGAAAATTATGATTACACAATTTATTATCTGAGAAGAAGAAAGATGTAGTTACAGATTGGAATTTTGTCCTTTATAAGAAGGGATAGATAATTTATTCTTGATAGATTTGGAAATTATGGTATACCTAATTTGCTTATATAATATATGAAGCAATCTAGGAAAGTTCATAGACATTTTGATTCATAAATGCCTTTAACATTTTCAAGTGTTGGTAGAATTCACTTTGCTGAGGCTAAGGCTGAACACGCCTGATCATTACCATGTTGGATTTCCATAATACACTCCAGCGGTCTCTGCTGAATTTTTAAGGAACTTATTTGAGAATTTGCTTTCATTTATAAAAACCAGTATTAAGAGTTAGTTGTAAATGCTGCTATTTCAAGCTCTCCTTCGCTAGATAAAAGCATATAGTTATCTGATGTTTAACATCAAGCCTTTTCATAAAAGCTTCTGTTCTTAATTTTCTCTCCTAGCTAATTGTGGATATTATTATTTGAAGAAGTAAGAATGTTTTTTTTTTCTCTTTTGGAGTTAAGCAGAGCACAACAAACTGTCAGAAGTCTTGCTTAAGACCGCAGAGAGTAATCTTGTGTTGTTTGTTCTGTTCTTCTGGTATTGAGCTAATTTTCTCAATAATAGCAGCAATGGAAATAACAAATATAAAAGCTTCATTTCCCCATCCTTCAAAAAGCCTTTTAGCCTACTTTGAAATCCCCAAAGACTATCTAGAAAAAATACCTATCAACAGAGAAATGTCAAAGCTAATGCCCTGGTTCAAAATTAAAGCAGCGAGAAACAGCCTGAACTACAGCAGAGAACTCTGCCTTCCCCAGGGCGATCCTCTTGGTGATAATTCATAGACTCCCAGGGGCTCATTCTGCGGAGGCCACTAGTAGTTTGCTTCCACTTCCACACATGGCATCTCCTTTCTTGTAATGGGGCAATAATCCAGGAATTGAGTGGGTGAAATACATAGATACTCTGCCCTATTTCCCTTGAATAAATAAAACTGCAGAAGTTGCCTTGGTAAATACCAAAGCATTTTATTTCACAAAAGAGTCATATGTAGAAAAAGAATTAAAGGTATAAAGCATGCACACATAGGAAGTGACCCTGAAATTCCAGAACTCTGAAGCACAAAGTAACCATCTGGATTTTACAACCACAAACACTCACTGTCACAGTGTCAAAGGTGTTCTACCAGGAGGAGTTGAATCTTCTACTTGCAGCTCTCAGTAACATGGGTGATTCATGGGCCAGAGGACTTAAAGGAAGAGATAAAGGTAAGCATTCTAGAATTCTACATTCTAGGACAAGCTCCAACCAGCACGTCCAGCCTGCCACCTAATACAAATTTGTATATTTAAAACACAAGTTGCTTTATTTATGTATGCACTTATTTTAGGAGTGAACTGCTTTGTAACTCAGCTGCATTGACATCAAGTATGAACTTTTCAAATGATTTTATTCTGCAGTGTCAAGAGTTTGGACATGACTGCCTGATTAGCTGCAGCCCTCTTTTTTGTCACTGTTTTGAGCAATATTGGTAGCCTGCCTAGAAAGCTTGGATAGATGATAGATAGACAGATAGATAGATAGATAGATAGATAGATAGATAGATAGATAGATAGATAGATAGATAGATAGACAGCAGACATATAAATAGATAGACAGACAAATAGATTAGTTGAAGCAGTCTATTGAAGAAGAATCTCATTTCTTGTGTTTGAGATGGAAGTTGTCTGTGACTCCTCCCTTAAATCACAGATAGTATTTGTGTTGTAGACAGACTACCTATTTTATTTGTGTGGTTCACTTAGGAAAGGGAGGGAGCCATATTCTGTGCTTTTATCCCCAAATTTAGGGAGCTCAGTTATTTTTCAGAGAATTCCCCTTAGACCACAATATCCCCTTGGTCTGCCTTGTACAGAAGTTGGGAAGCCTGTAGGAGTTGATACTTCTCATTCTGAGGTGAGCACAGATTTGAGGTACAGAGGGCATTCAGGAAACACTTGATAGATCCAGATAAATTCACCCTTGCCAAGACTACCAAGGCTCCACATATACAAGCTTTTCCATTTCACCCCATTTTCTATCTAGGCTTACCTGATCCTTTCCATTTTCTATAGGACACTCTCTTAATGCACCTCTTGCTTGTGAATGCATGACTTAGAAGCTGCTTCTGAGACTTCACACCTATGATATGAGTTTTCACTTTCTGATTGGGCCACCATGCCAAAGCATAAATGGCGATGGAGAAGGATATTTCCAGCAGGTAAAGAAAAGCAATGGTGCCAGACTTTCTTTACTACACCACATCTTATCTTTACCACCCAGAGTTTTATACCATCCTGTCTGTTCAAGGCCATTGTGCCTCTAACCTTCAGGTGGAGTCGCTTTGGGCTAATGGCACGTCTTGCGGACTGCACATGTCTTTCCAAAGGTAAAGTTGTTAAAATCTAAGCGTTCAAATGAGAGATGAGGCCTGTAGAATGTGATTATGTCACAGGATTATGTCACACTCTTTTACATGTGACTAGTGCCCTCCCAAAGAGTTTGAAGATAAGTTACCTTCATCTCCTATGAAGGAACCAGGAAGGGTCCTCCTTCTGTGGAGCAGAGCTTGTGTTCGCCAGACACACAATTTGCTGGTACCTTGGTCTTGGGCTTCACAAACTGACACAGAGAATGAGAAAGGAGGTGGGTTCTGCAGCACTGCAGATGGCCGGGAGGGAAATGATGTGATGTTCTCTTGATACTGGGATACTGTTCCTGTGGAACACCACCTACAGGTGGGGCAGCTGCAGACACGAGCATCAAACAACACGAAGATATGAACCCTAGGGCCGCAAAAGGTCCACACAGTTGGCAATGTTGGTTTGGGTAAGAAATAATGGGGCTACGTAAGAAGATAAATCCATTCATTTATTCAAACATTAATTCAGTCTCTAAAATTAATTGTGTGTCTAATACATGCCAGGCTAGGTACTGGGTTATAACATCATAAAACAAAAAAGAAAGTAAACATTTAGTGAAAAGAAATGTTCCTTCCTCTAGGGGCATATTTTTGTGGGGAGGTAGGTCATGAAGGAAACAGCGGGCACAGTAACAGCACAAATCATCGGTTTTAGCACACAGTCACAAGGCTGACTGTAATGTTTCCTCCTTTGTATAATGCTTGACTCAAATGTGCTTGCGAAGAAGGAAAGATAAAGCAGTCTCTAGTTGGTGTGATGTCTGAGTGGAAGAGGGGTCTTCAAGGGTGACAGAACAATCCACAGTGACACTTGCAGAGCCCTGAGGAAGGTGCCATTTGCATATCAGCATGTGAGGCTGAGAGGCACACTGTCATTTCTGGGGCAATAAAGGTACTGATGCAAGAATGTGTGATGAGCCCTCTTCCCTCCCCTTGGGGACAGCAGCGCAGAGCTGATTTGCTGTTTTAAAGAGTTTTTGCTTTATTTTTAGAATGAAAATAAGGCTTATGGCATTTCACATCTAGATGCTTAAAGTTTTTTAAATTATCAATTACAGAGCTCAGATTCTGAACTTAATGGACTGTTACTCTAGGTTCACCAGAGTAGGACTAATTTTCGCTATATTATAATCTATGTCTCTAATTTCAGAATGACAGAAACTCCTGGAAGGTGCTATTGGACTTTTAAAACATCATCTGCTACTGAAATATGTGCTTCTGATTCAGAGTCTCTGTGACCATGAAGGCAGTCTGGCTTCCCTCTCCACCATTAACTGGCATGTGTTGATTAAACACTAATGTGACCCCAAGGCAATTTCACTCAAGGTTTCTCTTTCTTTCTATAGATTTCATCCTTCCAAGCCATTAGTTACGCTTCTCTATTCTTCTGCTAATTATCTGAAGCATTATGATTTGAAACCTAAAACTCATAGAAGTCCTTCAAGAAGTTCTACAGCTGCAATGGAGATGAAGTTAAAATATGATTAAGAGTTTGAGAGGTTCTCATGGCTAATCTCGAGATTTCTAGACCTGAAAACACATCACTCTATCCTTTGCCTGATTTTCCTTCTTTCTTAATTAGTTAATAAATGGTGAAGTCACAGAAAAGATTGGGGAATACAAACCATGCCCTTTCTGAACAGAAATGGAACAGTGGAATGGGGGGGGGTAGAGGGTAGGTGAGAGGAGGGAATAGGAGGAGAAGGAGGGGAAAATCGCTGTCTGAAGCTGTGTTTTTAAAAATTATTTGATTTTTAAATGACTATGCTGCCTGCTATTAACAGTCTGGAGGAGGTTTCCCCACCTTTCCCTTAAGCCTCTGAAACTGAGTGGCAGCTACAGAGTAAGTCAGCAAGGTGGCCCTGATGTGAGCTACCACTATCAATTTCAGGAATATAGAGTAAGTGATAGACACAAAATCTATCCTCCTATTTAGTGAGGAGATGAGGCCTTCAAAGAGTTAAAGAGTCCTCTTAGAACAGAAAACAAAACAAAACAAAACAAAACAAAAACATTAATGCGAGAAATCCATGGAATCTGCTTATAGGGCAAAGAAATTAATTACCGGAGAAAAATTCACTGTACATACCAGAATTGTCACAGGTTCTAGAATGCTGGGGCACAGTTGCATGCAATTCCAGAAGTCTGAGTCAGTTCCCACATCCAAGCATAAGAAGGGAAGAAGAGAGATGCCTACGTGCATCTCAGGTCTTAAGGGTAGCTCAGAGGCCACACCCCAGGGGCATGTACTTCAAGCTCATAGGCAGGTAGAGTAGTTACCTGCTACATCTCTAGGGCTGCACTTCAGGGTCATAGAACAGATATCCACTACATCTCCCCCTTTTGTCTAAATAAGAAATTTCTAATCCAGTATAAAAATATATAAAATAGAAGTGATTTTCATGAATTGTCCAGAAGAGAGGAAAGGTAATAATCCAAACAAAAAACAGAAATGCTACCAGCAAATCAACATAAAACAAGAGACACACACTAAAATCCAGAAATGCCCAGAACATAGGTAAATGTTGTACTACAGAGATTACTCCAATAGCTGTCCTATTCTAAAAAATCTAACTTTAGTATCTAAAAAATGGTCTTAGCTAAGATATGAGATGATTATAACTGTAACTATCTACTTAGTCTTCAACCTAATAAAAGACCTGATAAAGAACATAATAATACCTGGGAAAACAGGAGATACAAGCAAGCAAATTCCAAAAAAATTGTGAGAATAGACAGAGACAGCTGGCAGCCTGGAGAGTCACCTAAAATTTCTCAGCACCATTGGGGCATCCATTTTGGCTACAGGTCTAGAATATCTGACATACTATTTTCAGAAGCAGGAATTTTGAGTGACCATCTTACCCTGTCTTGGCAAGATTCCGTAGTCACTCTACCCTGTGTCCTGCTCACCTGGAAAGGACAACATGCACACTGTCAGCAGTCAAGGCAAGGACAGTTCTTTGCCCAACAGGCCATTTTGTGCAAAGAAGAAGACAAACTTCTAAACAAAGTGTCTTAGAGACCCAATATTCTCTCAGGAGTAGATTGGTGTTGCCAGGAGCAATCGTGTTTCACGTCAACAGAATTCTAAGTTATTTAAATGCCATATTCTCTAGGTCTATGGAGTGTTTGAAGATTACCTATCCATCTGACATATGTTTCTGTAAACCTGGAAAACCGTTCTACAGCTAACATAACTGTAGAATGGCAAGCATAAATGACTATTAATCCATAAGTCTTATCTACCTAAATAATCTAAGGACTAAGGCTTCACATTAACAAGGTAAACAGTCTGTAAACAGATGTACAGTATAAGAACAATGACCTCAAAATTGTGACAATACACAAAATATTTTAAACGGAGGTAGAAATGTATAGTGAAATATGATCACAATATCCTTAATATGTATATCAATATACAAAATACCCTAAACAGAAGTAGAACATACATACAGTATGACAAAATATAATTTTACATTTGTATCAATATACAAACTATTTCAAATAAGAGTAGGAACATGTGTACAATATGACAATTATAGTTTTGAATTTGTATCAATGTACAAATTGTCTTAATTAGGAATATGAAAATTATTTACATTTGTGTCAATATATAAGAATCCATATCAGTGTAAATTATCTAAGGCTGATAGTTTGCTAAATCTACTTTAATATTCTACACCTATCTATTCCATTTCTTCTCTTTTCCAAACATGAATTCTGAGTCTAATTTTTATTGTTCCTCCCTCAACCCTATAATAACTTATCCATAAACCCTAAGAAAATAAAAACTTTTGGGAGAGGAGGTATGATTTTCTTAAAATTGCTTCCTGCTGTTTAGTGGGTGATGATAACTCTGTGGGATCCTGTAAGAAAGCTAAATGGTTAAGTGTCAATATGACAAGCTGTAATGTTTGTAGCTAGTCTCAGAATAATGGGTAAAGTTTTCTGAGGTTCTGGCTAGAAGTATAATATGATGGACCCTCTCATCTTGGAACTGTCCTGAAGAGTTTGCAGTCCAAAGCTGATCACTGAGTAATGTTCTTAGGCACAATGGCATCATTCCAGACCAGGTAGAATCATGTTGTGGGGCCCCATCTTCCTTCTGGAAACTTTAGAGGCTGCTATTAGAAACACTTATTTTTCACTGTGGAAAACATGAACACTATTAATATTAAAATGGAAAGTTTGGATTGAGGATGATTCAAGGAAAGATCCCCAGAAATCAAGGATAAGCATAGAAAGAAATAGAATTTTGATTACAATGGTCCCTAGATTATTGGTTTTCTTCTCTCTTACACCAGTTGGCTTTTCTGACATGAGACAGAATCTCCTGGTTTTTCTTTTAGCAACATGCTTGGGTTTAGAGGAGAGAGCCACATTCCAGCTCCAAAGCCAGCTTGATTATAATTAAATCAGGACCACAACTATTCTAGAGTTAAAGAAATGTTGATGTTATGCAGTGAGTCAGACTTAGGGGGGTAGTTAGTTGTTGCCCCATGCAGAGAGGGAAAAAAAAACATAGAGACAGACAAAGACAGATAAAACACAAAAAGGACAGACACAGTCTGTACAGTGGTCGATTCAGCGACAAACTGAAAACAGAATTTCAAATGAGAAAGGCTGCAAACAGCCTCGCTCCCCCGTGGGAAGGAGAGACACTAGGTCCATTTCCTTCCTCCAGATCACTCCGGAGGAGACCTCCAGAGTGGGGACCCAGGGACGTCTGAGCACATCTGCTCCCCTCACAGGTCCCTGATACAGGTCCTGCGCAGGCACAGAATACAAATGCCAAATCGACCAGACAAAGGACAAGAACATAATAACATAAAACATAGATCGAGCTCATTTTTACCTCCAACTGGCAGAGTGGGGGTCCAGAGGCACCCCCAAATCTCTGTGGAACCTCCAAATGATAGACCCCAGACCCAGGGTACTACCTTCTCAAGTGGGCGCCCCAAGAACCCAGACTCCGGTCCAGTTGATGCAAACAGCAGGAAGTTTATTGATGCGGCTGTACAGTTGGGCCACTCTTGTCCTGAGAGCAAGAGTTGCATCCTACTGCAGCCACATGGGTACTTTTAAAGGAAAAACCCCCCAAAAACACAAGATTACAATTCCCATACAATTTCGTTTGGATTGATTTATGTCTAGAGGTTAATTTCTCAAGATCATGGTCTGATCAAGAGGGGGTACAGTCACATCCGCATGTACATTCTTGAAACCTCAAGGTGGGTATAAGGGTGGGAGTGAAAGTTACACAAAGGTTACAATGGTCTTTCCTGGAACACTTGCAATTATCCCAGTCACAGTTGAGTGCATCTCTTAACAGAAATCTCTTTACATTGTTACATTGTGGCATGGGGTAGTTGAGTAATGGTTTAGTCAGTTTGTTCTTGGAGCTAGATTTTTAGTTCCTGATTTTCCTGACAGTTCATAGCCCTAATATTAATCAATATAATTCTGAAAAGCTATTAATCTTGTTCTGACAGAGTAGTAAACACTATACTCTGCCCCTATATTATCATAGCCGCAAGTTCAGGATTTAAAATTCCCTTTGGTTGTTTTCTAACTATAGACTTAAAAGATGTTTCCAAAGGGGATCTTAGCACATGCATACAAAGGCTTGCACAACCACACAGTGCATGTACATAGGTTATGTAATGATGTATGGTCATAAGACCCCGGGCTCACAGCGCATGCACAGCCATTGGACCCTGGGTACTGGCTAGACATTTTCCTGAGATGCTAACATTCCACCTTTTTGTATTTTTTTAAATAAAAACTGAGGAGTTATGGGTGGAGTTAAGTTACTGGGTTCTCAAAACTGCTTCCTGCTGACTTGGTGGGCATCGGTCATCTTTGGGAGACTTGAGAAAACTAGGGTGCTGTATACATCCTGGGGTAGCAGGTTGTTTCACTGCTGTCCAGGCTCTGTGGAGCCACCTGGGGTTGCTTGGGCCTGATGAGATAGCCTGAACAGCAATGAAACTACCAACTACTCCAGGACATGGACGGCACCCAAGTTTTCTCAAGATCTCCAAAGATGACCAACACCCCTCAAGTCAACAGGAAGCAATCTGGAGAACTTAGTGTCCTCATTCCGCCCCATCTGCCAACCCTAACTCTTCATCTTTTTTATAATAAACAAAAGGGAGGAATGTTAGCGTTTAGACATTACCTAGCCCACCCCTTGGGGACCTGACAGGATGCACTTGCTAACATTCAGGTAAATACCTAGACAGCCCAGGTCCTAAGTCATAGTCTAAGCACACATGCGCTGAGTGGATGCCTAGTTTCTACATGCATGCGCTAAA